GATTTGCCGGGGATACCTCCAGAGAGGCAGGTTGAGTTCAGGATCGACCTAGTTCCTGGTGCGGCTCCGATAGCCAAAGCACCGTATCGACTAGCTCCCCCTGAGATGCAGGAGTTGTTACACAGCTGCAAGAGCTGTTAGACAAGGGTTTCATTCGGCCGAGCAGTTCGCCTTGGGGAGCGCCGATCCTGTTTGTGAGGAAGAAGGATGGGTCGCATCGTATGTGCATTGATTATCGGGAGTTGAACAAGGTAACGGTGAAGAACCGTTACCCACTTCCGAGGATAGATGACTTGTTTGATCAGCTTCAGGGAGCGTCTTGGTTCTCCAAGATCGATCTACGCTCCGGTTATCATCAGATGAGGGTTAGAGATGAGGATGTACAGAAGACTGCTTTCAGGACCCGGTATGGTCATTATGAGTTCGTGGTGATGCCATTTGGGCTCACCAATGCCCCAGCCGCGTTCATGGACCTCATGAACCGCGTGTGCAGGCCGATGCTGGATCGGTCAGTGATAGTATTCATAGACGATATCTTGGTATATTCCAAGACACAGGGGCAGCACGAGGAGCACCTGCGGGAGGTGTTGGAGACTTTGAGGAGGGAGAGACTTTTCGCGAAGTTCTCCAAGTGTGAGTTCTGGTTGCGCGAGGTGCAGTTTCTTGGTCATCTCGTCAACCAGAAGGGTATTTTGGTAGATCCGGCCAAGATAGAGGCCGTGATGCAGTGGGAGGTCCCGAGTCTCCATCTGAGATTCGGAGCTTCCTAGGGTTGGCAGGGTATTATCGGAGATTTATTCAGGACTTCTCCAAGATAGCAGTGCCGCTCACCCGACTAACCAAGAAGTCAGTGGTATTTCGTTGGGGGCCTGAGCAGCAGGCGGCGTTCGAGACTCTCAGACAGAGATTGTGCGAGGCTCCGATCCTTACCTTGCCAGAGGGAGTAGAGGACTTCGTAGTCTATTGTGATGCTTCGATCACAGGTATGGGAGCAGTATTGATGCAGCGAGGCCATGTGGTAGCTTATGCCTCGAGACAGTTGAAGCCTCACGAGGCTAATTATCCTACCCACGATTTGGAGCTGGGGGCAGTTGTGTTTGCCCTCAAGATTTGGAGACATTACCTTTATGGGGTCCGTTGTACTATATACACGGATCACAAGAGCTTGCGATATCTTATGGATCAGCCGAGTTTGAACATGAGGCAGAGGAGGTGGTTGGACGTACTGAAGGATTATGACTGTGAGATCCTTTATCACCCAGGGAAGGCCAACGTGGTGGCCGACGCCCTAAGCCGCAAAGTGTCGGCGGCCCCTATCAGAGATCTGTGTATGAGGATGACAGTGATCACTCCGTTGTTGGAACGGATCAAGGAGGCTCAGATGGAGGGTCTCAAGGAGGAGAGGCAGAAGTGTGAGAGAATAGTGGGCCGAGTAGCTTCGTTTGATTATGATAGTCGGGGTTTGCTGACGCTTCATGGTAGGGTGTGGGTACCGTACTGGGGTGGAGTACGGCAGGTGTTGATGGACGAGGCTCATAAGTCTCGGTTTTCTATCCACCCGGGGCGACAAAAATGTATCGAGATCTTCGACCTGATTATTGGTGGCCCTGCATGAAGCGGGACGTCGCTTGGTATGTTGAGAGATGCTTGACCTGCCGGAAGGTCAAGGCGGAGCACCAGAGACCTCACGGCAAGATGCAGCCGTTAGACATTCCCGTGTGGAAATGGGAGGATATCACCATGGATTTTGTCACCAAACTCCCCAGGACCGCACGTGGAGTGGATTCGATATGGGTTGTAGTGGATCGGTTGACAAAGAGTGCCCATTTTATTCCGATTCAGGAGAGTATATCGGCGGAAAAGTTAGCCGATATCTATGTGCGAGAGATTGTGGCACGTCATGGAGTGCCGGTATCGGTGGTGTCAGACCGAGATGTTCGTTTCACGTCCAGATTCTGGAAGCGGTTCCACGACGAGATGGGTACTCGTCTCCATTTCAGCACCGCTTTCCACCCTCAGACTGACGGGCAGAGCGAAAGGACGATTCAGACTCTTGAGGACATGCTTAGGGCATGTGTTCTAGATTTTGGGGGCAGTTGGGATACGTATCTTCCGTTAGCGGAATTCTCGTATAACAACAGTTATCATGCGAGTATTGATCGACCTCCTTTTGAGATGCTGTATGGGAGGAAGTGTAGGACCCCGATTTGTTGGGGCGAGGTCGGTCAGCGAGTCATCGGGAGCACCGAAGTGGTGCTCAAGACGACTGAGTTGATCCAGCAGGTCCGTAGTAGGCTGCAGACTGCGCAGAGTCGGCAGAAGAGCTACGCTGACAGGAGGCGTTCGGACTTGGAGTTCCAGGTGGGAGATATGGTTCTTCTGAAAGTCTCACCTTGGAAAGGTGTCATCAGGTTCCGGAAGAGGGGCAAGCTGGGCCCCAGATTTATTGGTCCTTTCAGGGTTTTGGCCCGGGTGGGTCGGGTTGCTTATCGGTTAGATCTTCCTGAGGAGCTTAGTCAGATCCACAACACCTTCCACGTGTCGCAGTTGAGGAAGTGTTTGGTGGATGAGTCAGCAGTCGTTCCCCTAGAGGATATTCAGGTTGATAGCAGCCTGAATTATATTGAGAGGCCGGTCGCGATTCTGGATCGGAAGACCAAGACCTTGAAGAACAAGGTAATCCAGCTAGTGAAGGTACAGTGGCAGCACCGGAAGGGGTCTGAATGGACGTGGGAGGCTGAGGAGGAGATGAGAACGCACTACCCGGAGATATTTACAGATCCAGCCGTAGCAGACTTCGAGGACGAAGTCTGAGATAAGTGGGGGGAATTGTAACGACCCGTTCCCGGTATGTTAATTCATTAGTAATTGTTTTAAAGTTTTGCAAGAGGGACTCGGCGAGTTCATAGCCTGACTCGCCGAGTAGGGTCGCGACTTCGAGCACGTGTTAGCTAGTGACTCGGCGAGTCCGTCCGTCTGGGTGAAACCCTAAATCCCCGGGTTGCCCACTATTTAAGTCACCTTATAGCCCCCATTCTCGCCTCCTTCACCCTCTAAAGCTGTGAGAAAACCCTAGTTCATCCTTGAGAGTTTGTAAGTGATTTTGTGTGATTTTGTGAAGGCTTGAAGAAGGAGAAGAAGAAAGGAGCAAGGAGAAGAGGTGGAGTGCCAAGATCCAAGGGCAAATCTGAGTTATTTGAGGTATTTTCGGATTTCCCCTCTTGTTTTATGCTTTAAACCTCCATTAGAACTCTTCTAAGAACTAGTTGATGCTTGTTCCAAGCCTTGTGCTTTCATGAACGCCCTAATAAGCCGAGATAACCTTGGATCTATTCATTGAGAAGTCCCATAGTCCAGATCTATTGCCTTTATGAGGATACTTTGCATATTAACCCTAGATCTATCCCTTTTATGCATCTTTTAGCCTTATTTTCCCTTATTCATGTGTTGTACACGTAAAGTTGGAAACTTTACGTGGTAAACCAGCTTATTGGACTCAGATCTATCATTTGTATGTGTTGGATTCAAGCAAAATCGGGTGAAAAACAGTTGCATGGCGGCAACTCGGCGAGTCGGGAAGAACGACTCGGCGAGTTGAGTCGCGAGTCCCCGATTCCTTCATTTTTAGCAGTGTTGAGTGGAACCAGTGAGTTAGAGAGTGGACTCTGCGAGTTGAAGGTAGACTCAGTAATGGAGGGACTCGGCGAGTTGTTCATACAACTCGGCGAGTCCAAGGCAATCTTCTTAAGATCAAGAACAACTCGTCGAGTACGTTCATACGGCTCGGCGAGTCGGATGAAGATTGTCTGAGTTCTTGGATCAAGAGGGTACTCGTCGAGTCGATGCCATACTCGACGAGTAGCAGCGAGTAGGATTGAAAAGTGAGAGTAGGACTCGGCGAGTTGGGTGGCCCAACTCGGCGAGTCAGTCCAATGAGAGTAACTTTGACCAAGGGTAAAAGAGTCATTTTACCCAAGTGCAGTGTTTAGTATTTGATTGAGTGTGTTTATGGACTTGTAGCCGGGAGATACAGGAGCAGCAGCCGTTAGCTTCCAGAGCCACACACTCAGCAGCCAGTTTACGAGGTGAGTTTCCTTCCAGTAGGGACGGGTCTAAGGCCACAATGCCGGCCCGTTCAGTTAGCAGTAGTTTCCGGACTTTGATCCGATGCAGTAGCTAGTATGTTTGATGCCTTCGTGGCTCAGACAGGATTTGTGTGCTATGTTTTATGTGTTATGTATTATGTGTTCCGGGCTACGGCCCGATGTAGTATGCAGTATATGTGTTCATGCTAGTTGTTATGTTATGCTACGCTATGCTCAGTCAGTTAGTTCCGGACTTCAGTCCGATGCAGGGGACAAGGTCCCAGTCGGTTCCGGACTTTGGTCCGATGCAGTTAGTTCCGGACTTCGGTCCGATGCAGATAGTTCCGGACTTTGGTCCGATGCAGGGGACAAGGTCCCAGTCAGTTCCGGACTTCGGTCCGATGCAGTTGCCGGGCTTCGTCCCGATGCAGTGGGCAAGGCCCAATATGTGTTTATATGTTATTGTATGGTATGTGGTAGTTTGGGGGAGCTCACTAAGCTTCGTGCTTACAGTTTCAGTTTTAGTTTCAGGTACTTCCGCAAGCAAAGGGAAGAGCTCGGGGTGACGGCATCGCACACACCACAGCTTTAGCTTTTAGCCTGGGATTGATTTAGTTTGTTTTGATTTGACGTAGTATGATACAGTTTTCCGCACAGTGTTTTCTATTATGTTGGAATACATCACGTATGGTTTTATTATATGACATTCTGATTATGGTTTTGATTATATCGAAAAACGAAATTTTTGGGTCGTATTTTTGGGTTGTTTCAACCCTTATACATCTATTGCCTCAATATTCCCCAATTGTGTTTCTTGTATTCCTACGAATGAAGAGTTGTTGTGTACTTTGAGCCTTTTTACCCAATTTACCTTGTGGGTTTCTCCGATTCCTCTCATATTCAGGCTGAGGCAATTCATTGAGGTGGAATATTCTCTCCTTCTTCTCCCATGACTTCGCTGAGGATAGGGTTGTTTAGCCCTATGTCAAATCCAAGCTCCCTACCAAGTGCAGCTGTTTCTTCCATTTCGGATGTCCTGGGGTTTCCTATATTTTCTTCCCTGTTTTCGTTTTGCTGTGGGGGAGGGGTATTAAGGTCAATGTCCCCGTTCTGGTTTGATACCGGTGGGGAATCCGGTATTGGCACAGTTTGAGGGATGGGTTCGGGGTCGGACTCCATTGGATTCTCCATGAGAGGAATAACGGGTGTGTTGTAACCCATGTTTAACTTCATTACTCTTCTTCTTTTTCCATTGGATCCTCCGGTTCTGAATGTTTGGGCTACTTTATATGTTTTTAATTGATATGGGAAAGGCCCATAACAGTTAATTGGGGGAAGCCCATTATGTGCTCCATCAGCGAGTGGCAAACTAATGCCAACTTTTGTCACGTGTCCTTGATTGTTACCGTTTGTTATTAGTGCCTCAAGAATTTGAAGGATCGGTTCCGGTGCCCCCTTTGATATTCCCAATAATCCTGTTTGTTCCCCATGCATCTGTTCGTCTACCATCTCCGTGTGTCCCTGGTCATCCACCTGAATCCTATTTTCCTCCGATGAGTTTTGCAATTCCGGCCAAATCTCTCCTTCTTCTCTTTTGTTTTCTCCCACTGCCGTCTTAACTTCCTCTTCTTCCGGATCGTCGTTTTTTTCGTGGCTGTTTTTTTCAAGGTAATCTTCTGATGGATCGAATCTGAACGGGAACCAATCTACATCAAATTCGATTATCCCCAGCCGATATTCCTTCCCTTCGAACGTAGCAGTAACCTCTTCATTTATACGTATCTTCCTTTTCGTAAGAATACCTATCTTTACATGTGATAGGTCGACTCTATGTGGGATGTCTTTGAAGGGTGCAATGGTTTTCCCATATGCACTCGTGATTATTTCAAAATTACTTTGTCCCCAAAGGTGTAGTGGAAGTCCTATAATTCTGATCCATGCTACTCATTCTGCATGTGTTTCTGCCTTGTCACCCCATTTTAGCCATTTCATATGGTTTTTCCACCTGCATTTGTTTTCCATGAACTCCTTTGCTGCTACAGAGTGATCGAATAGCATTAGGACCCTCAGTCCTCCAATGTATTTTATCTCCATATTGGACTCGTCGTTTGAGTTTAGCAGTTTGGGGAGGTGTCCTAGATGGTCTAGCGACATTGCTTCACCAACTATGGCTGTTTTCCTCAACCAACTGAGAGTGATCGGTTCTCTTTGTAGAGTAATGGTCTCGTTGATTCTGGACGGGAATTTGTTATGTGGGTCGGCCTTACCATATCGGCGTATGTTCTATGATCTCTGAAGTGTGTTCGTGTCTCCTTTCTTTGATCTTTGATTGCTCAGGTCTTGTCTTCCATCAATCTTCCTCTTCCACCTTTGTAAGCTTGAAATTTGGGTGGTTCTTTCCTCTCACGTAAGGCTATGTTTACTGCAAGGATCCTCCCTCTAATCTTTGCGCCATCTAGTTTCCTTTCCAGTTCCTTTGCATTAGTAACTCCCCTGTATCGTATGAAGGCGTAGTATTTTCCGTTCTTCCCCACCTTCTGCCCCATATACACGTCTGTGAGTTTGCCATGTTTCTCGAATGTTTTCTGCATTTCTCCTTTCGTTGCTTCCATCGGAACGTTTGTTACAAAGAAAGTAGTTGTTTCCTCCTCTTTCCCGCTGTAGTTTTTCTCCCTTTTTTTGGCGGACTTCCGTCCAAACTTCCTCCATATCTTTCATTGTTTTCTCGGCAACCCGTCTCTGTAGAGCTTCAGGAGTATGAAAGCACAAATTCTAACAGTTAATATAATATAAAAATTAAATCAAATTTAACATATTATATAAATAAATCATTAAATAGCACACAATGCTTTGGCCAAATTTAAATGTTCCCAACTCTTGCAAAATCAGCCGATTAAAAAAAATTAAAAATTATATTAAATTAAATTAAATAACTCGATACAAATTTATCTTTTTTTCGTTCTCATATATAAATATGATAAAATTTTCCTAATTTAGGATCTCCAAATACCAACTAAGTAAAAAATACATTTTCAGTTGGGGGTTTTTAATTGTTTTGAGCATCATGCCATCATCTATCATTGATTATTGTATAGGAAATATAAGATCCATAAACGATCATTACATCAATTATATATCTATATGACTATTATATGTAGGATGTTGATTGTTCTCTCTTGAAAGTGGTGAAAAGAAAGATTAATGTTGATGTTTCAAAATGGAGTTGGTGCTTTTTCATGTATAATGGTGCTAAATATAGGTATATTGGGTTTCGATAATATCATAGTTATGTTTTTAAAAAATAATAGCAACATCCTTACCTTTCAATCCAATAATAGCAATGAACTTATCTTTTTTTTATTATTATAAATAATAACATTCTTATCTTTTTATCAAATAATAACAACATATTTTTCTTATCAACCAATAATAACAACCTATTTACCTTTTAGGGGGTGTTTAGCTTAGTTTTTTAGAGGCCAAAAGTTATTTTTTGAAAAGTTGTAAATAGTCAGGTTTTCTTGACTTTTCCAAAAAGTTGATTTTCCTTCTATCCAAAATCTAAAAGTAGCTTTTAAAAGTTTTTTGCGAAACATCTTTTAACTTTGATCTTTTCCTAAAAGGACTTTTGACATCTCAAAAGCTAAGCCAAACACCCCCTAAATCCAATAATAGCAATGAAGATATCAATTGTTACAAATAATAGCAACATACTTATATTTTTAACAAATAATAGCAATATATTAAAGAGCGTATTGCATCAAGTATAAGTCATCGTTTTAGAAGAAGAGGTTGGGGATAAACATATGTAGCCCTAGGACATGTATTCATATAATGATACCCCTAGACCTGGTATTATCAGGTAGCTTACATTTGACATTTCTTCTTTTAAATAGTTATTGGTATTTTTTATTACTTCCATGAAACTATTTATGCTTAGTTATTTTTTATGCATTTACTTTCAGGTCGAGGTCTGGAAATGTCATTTTTAATAAGTACAACAATATGTTGCAGATGACTGAAAGTAGATGAATTTCTTGACACTTTTTTTACTATGTCATTTTTTTACTCCAATTTTTTCGGTGAAATGTGCAAGCTACAAGGTAGATATGGCTCTATATATTATTTACTCTATACTTATATTTTATGCTTAGGGTCTAATTGTTTCTTGATAATGTCCTCTTGTTGCTGTGATTAACTTCCTTATAGACATAAATTATGTTGATATTATGGCTCAAAGAATCACGGAGGATGTTAGAATGAAATTGTTTGGTCTCAAATTGGGTTATTTGGGCCTATGTGAGGAAATCTGCAAAAACAGGAAAATTCCAGTTAAAAATGATGTTTGTGTTCATGGGGATTAAAATCATGTTTGATTTGGGTTGTAAGATTTATTGTCAGTTTTGTTGTTATGAGGAAAATAAAATTGGGAAATATTACTTCTTTGATAACAGGAAGAGTAATAAGAAGATGTGGATTATCTGGCTTTTGGAGAGGAAAGTGTTAATAAAAGCTAAATGGAGGCGGCGTGATCATATCGTGATAAGGATAATGTGGGAGATGTATAACAATGATCGGTTATTCAAGAGATGGTGTAAAGGGTTCCTTTGTTATTTTTGGAAATTTAAAATTTCTCCGAGATAGTTGTTTGGGTATGGATTAATTGCAAGCAATTTGATAAGGAAACTTTCGAATTAAGATGTATATGGATTGCTATAGTCTATGATTGGAATTATGCGATTTGTCCCAAGGGCCAAGGGTATTTTGGGTATATTGCGGATTGTAAGAGAGATTGATGTTCCCGAGTTTCATTAAAGGAAGGAAGTGGAAGAAATGGAAGGATCACTTTCCCTCCTAACTTTCCTTCCGATTTGGGAGGATTTGAAAAGAAAGAATAAAATGTTTAACTTTACTTCCATTTTCTCAAACTCGGGAGCACAAAAGACAAATTTGTTTTCCTTTCTTTTCTCTTCTTTTCTCTTCTCTTCTTTTCTTTGCTTCAACTCGGGAGCAGGGTGTTAAGGTTTACTGGTTCCTATCGATTCTTTCTGATATCTGCATGTAATTGGAATTATGCGATTTGTCCCAAGGGTATTTTGGGCATATTGCGGATTGTAATTTTTTTTTTTCAGGTTTACTGTTCTTGTCGATTCTTTTTTTATATCTACAGCTCCCTATGGATGTTCTTCATTTTGTAATATTGGGTTTTCTTTCATTCGAGGTTGGTGGTTAAACGATCAGGGGTATTTCAGTCAAAATGCATCATAAGAGTTTTTTATTCTTGTTTGGGTTTCACTTATGGAGAAGGGGAGGAATAAAGGAGTGTCGGATTTTTAAAATATTGTTAATTGGAATTATTTTATAATTAAAGGGTATTTTAGGAATTACTAATTAATAGCACTTAATTTTGTATTTTATACTATCACTATATTTGTTTCATGGATTTTATTTGTGTATGGAGGAGTTGAAACTATTTAACCAACAAGCGTACGTGGGCTAAATGTGATTGTGTCTATACTAAAATACATTGCTATGTACTATCAATGAATTATAGCAATGCACTATTAAAGTACAATGGTTTCGTTTGAAATATTTTTAAAATATAAGTAATTTTTTATAATACAAATGTGAGAAATATATTATTTTGGTAAACAAAAAATTAAAGTACCTTCTTATTAATGCATTTAGCGCATATTTTGTAACGATCCAATTTTCACGATCAAAAATTTCATTTTTTGATTAAGTGATTTGCACAACATTTGTATCAAAATATCAACCGATCATATCATTTAATAAAAGCATGTCTCGTATCTGAAAACCCAATCGTAAAAACATAATAATGTCAGAGTACAAATCCCAGAATAACTCATAATGCGGAAAACAAAGAGTGTGTGTATGATGTGCCGCTACCGCGCCAGCTCCTTCCCCTTCGCTGAAGAGATACCTGAAACCAAAACTGTAAACTGTAAGCACGAAGCTTAGTGAGTTCCCCCATCGTACCACATACCATGCAATCACATAGCATACATACTGTCGGGCAATTCTGGGGTGCCCAACCTACCCGGTATGACCATTCTGAGGTGCCGACCTACCCATGTGGCCATTCTGGGGTGCCGTCCAACCTATGTCAAGTCATTCTGGGGTGCTGACCTACCCGTCGGTCCTAATAACCGACCCTCAGGGACTATTCTACCCCTTACTGCTACTATCATATATATCATAACATAAACATACTACCAGACATATATGGGGTGTCCGAACTACCCTTCGGTCCTAACAACCGAACTTGGGGGACTATTCCTCTCTTACTACCGCTATCACATATAACATACCATGTCAGCATATAAACATATCAGCACATATTATCAGACATATCTGGGGTGTCTGACCTACGCTTCGGTCCTAACAACCGAGCTCTACTACTATCACATATAACATATCATGCCAGTATATAATATATCACGTAGTAGCAAACCTAGATGATATCACAAAGACAATCATCTAATCATACAACTCCTACTGGTGGGCCGACATTGTGGCCGTAGACCCACCGCTACTGGAAGGTAACTCACCTCGTAGTAGCTGCTGATCTGTGCGAGAATCCTCTGACTGCTGCCGCTGCTGCTCCGGAAATCCTCCGGCTATAATTCCCACAAAACACTTAGTCATACACTGCTAACTGTTCTTAGGGTAAAATGACCATTTTACCCCTAACCAAATCAAAGTCAAAGTCAACTTCTAGTTGACCTGACTCGCCGAGTTGGCTCGCCAACTCGCCGATTCCCTATCCTTCCATTTTTCCTTGTACCCGTCTCTACTCGTCGAGTTAGGCGATGACTCGACGAGTTTTCCTTCTAAAGGAACATCGACTGAATCCTCATCCGACTCGCCGAGTTGTATGAACAACTCGTCGAGTTCATCTTCAACTGATACACATGTCCTCTCCTTGACTCGCCGAGTTGTATGAACGACTCGTCGAGTTCATCTTCATCCTTAAAAAGTTTGCCTTGGACTCACCGAGTCTGCTCATGCACTCGCCGAGTCCCATGAACTTCCAGAACAATGGCTTAGTCCAGAACGTTGGGTCACTCCCCGGGACCCCCCTAAAACCTTTCCACACTCAATTGGGTCCTTATAACCCTCAACTAATATGGGACAGAAACCTTGGACTCACCGAGTCCAAGAATGGACTCATCGAGTTGGTCACATCCTCTCACTAAATCTTCGAGCTCTGATGTACAACCCTTGATCAAAAGATAGATCTATGCTTCTACAATCGATCTAGCACGTAAAGTTACAATCTTTACGTGCTTGCATGGGACTTTGAGCTCAAAAGGTCCTAAAACAATCTCTTACAATGCATGGGGCCTTCTTTGAGTGCAAGAGCCACTCCTTTCTGCCTTGTAACCCCTTTAAGGGCCTAGATCTGAAACATCAACCCCTAACCATGCTTGCAATCATGGTTGGTGACCAAAATGGCTTAGAAAAGCCCTAAAACTCCACAAAATGGGATATATCAAAAGAACAAACAAGGTATAGACTTTATACCTTCTGAAGACTGCAAATGATGCTCAAAATCGGATCCTTCTAGCCTCCTCTTGATCCTTCAAGC